CCAGATGGTGCCAGGCAACCTCCAGCCGTTGCTGGCAGGCTTGCAGCAGCAAGTCCAAAAACTGGAGCAGCATGCCCCGGGCGAGCTCTGGCTCCATGGTTCCAACTGCGGCGGCGTCCCCAGTGGGTACCACTGACACAGGCAGGAGGAGAGGAAAACGCTTTACTGTCCCTCAGTGAGGTAGGCAAGCAAGTGAAAAAGCTGAGAAACGGTTGTCCAGGGGGATCCCTTTAAGCACGAGCCTCAGACAGCAGCCACACAAAGCAACTATTGACCCCGGGCGAGCTCTGGCTCCATGGTTCCAACTGCGGCGGCGTCCCCAGTGGGTACCACTGACACAGGCAGGAGGAGAGGAAAACGCTTTACTGTCCCTCAGTGAGGTAGGCAAGCAAGTGAAAAAGCTGAGAAACGGTTGTCCAGGGGGATCCCTTTAAGCACGAGCCTCAGACAGCAGCCACACAAAGCAACTATTGACCTGATGCTCTGCCGGAACCGGTTTCAGCTGCCCTTAAATGCGACCCAGCATCCAATCAGTGTGGGCGTGCTATTTAAAATTAGCAAAACACTAATTCGAATTAGTTCTTGGGTCTACATGCGTTATTTCGAATTAGCTTATTTCGAATTAACTAATTCGAATTAACTAATTCGAAATAAGTTAGCTCAAATTAGTGCTGTAGTGTAGACATACCCTACGAGCTGACATCACTTGAGACAGGGCAGTGTTTCTGTCCAGCCTGCATAATACCTGACAATTACTGAGGGGTATGTCTACACTGCCACCCTAGTTCGAACTAGGGTGGCTAATGTAGGCAATTGACGTTGCAAATGAAGCACAGGATTTAAATATCCCGGGCTTCATTTGCATCTTGCCGGGCGCCACCATTTTTAAATCCCTGTTAGTGTGGACTCCGTGCCCGCGGCTACACGCGGCACAGAGTAGGTAGTTCAAATTAGGCTTTCTAATTCGAACTACCGTTACTCCTCATGGAACGAGGTGTAACGGTAGTTCGAATTAGCCTAATTTGAACTACCTACTCCGTGCCACGTGTAGCCGTGGGCACGGAGTCCGCACTAAGGGGGATTTAAAAATGGCGGCGCCCGGCAAGATGCAAATGAAGCCTGGGATATTTAAATCCTGGGCTTCATTTGCAACTTTGATTGCCTACATTAGCCACCCTAGTTAGTCCTAGGGTGGCAGTGTAGACAAGAGACTGATGTGCAGACATGAGAAATGAGTAGCAGGAGACGGTGGCTGAGAGCCAGCAAGGAGGTGACAGAGAGGTGTGATGAGCGGCCAGTGGGGTGATGCAGAGAGGCACAATGAGTGGCCAGTGGGATAAGTAAGATGTCTCTTTACCACCCTAGGTGAACTCTGTAGATGCACCTTTGAACTCTGGATCTGCACTGACCAAGGGCAGCAACTGTGCATGGAGTGGAGAAGAAGTTTGGCCACGTAAAGGGAACTTTTGGGTTGCTTGACTTAAGACCCTGAAGGGAAAAGGACATTGCCCAATCTACTTGGGATTCATCTTTTATTCATGGCCTATGTTGGTGGTAAAAGCAGAGCGGCAGTGGGGGACGCGGGAGAGGGATCTTGGGTTGATCGGGCAGAAGTGGGATGAGCAGCTAGTGCTGCTGCTAGGTCCCTTGGTAAAGGCAGCGTGTGTGTGTGTGGAGTGGGGGGGAGAGTACTATCAGTGAGTGGAACACCGGAACTCCTACTCACTGTGAGGATCGGAACAAATCCCCATACACATTTTGAGGACACGTGGCTCCTGTGTGTGACTTTAAGTTTAAGAATTCAATCTAATATCAAAATACTAGTTAATGCTAATAAAAATTGGAAGTTTTAAGAGGATGCTGAATACCTTTTTTTCTGTGTAAATATGTACAACTGAAAAGACTATTATAAAACACACAATGCCAGCAGCAATGAAATGTCACTGGATTTAACAGGTTCCCTCAGATTGTATTTCTTGCTCTCTCTGTATATATAACTACATTGATGTTTAAAACAGAACATTTAAAAATAGAATGAGATGTATATTCCCAACCCAAGTTTGCAAGTGATATACTGTTTACCAGATTAGAACTGTTATAGTTGTGACTCCCTGTTTCCTTTAGTAACTAACGGTATGGGTATGTCTAGACTACACCTTTTTTTTCAGAAAAAGGTACACAAAATGCACTCCGCATTTTGTGTATATTTTTCTGCCTTTTTTTTTTTTTTAAAAGAAGAGGCTATTCTGAAATTTGGCCCATCTACACTGGGCCAAATTTTGGAAAAAACCCTTCTTTCAGAAGATCCTTTCTTTCTTGTGGAACGAGGAAGATAGGGCTTCCAAAAGAACACATCTGGTCTTCTGGAAAGAAAAAGCAGAAGAGCAAACACATTCCCTGGACGTGGCAGAGTTTTTTTGGGAATACTTCTGGTATCCCGAAGCCCCTCATCCTCGCAGTCTAGACATAACCTAGGTCTAGACCAGTGTTTCTTAAACTTTTTAAGATCGAAGAACACTAAATAATATTTTTTAATGAAGAATGCCAAGGGTTTTTTGTTGAGCAAAGAAAAAGAAAAAAAAGGCTTGTCACTTTCACATAACCCCAAGAACCCTGACCAGATGACACTATAAACAAATACACACACAAATACACAAACAAAACCTGGCAATAAAAAAAAGTTGTCAGAAAAACAAAAACAAAGAAGTAACATTGTATCTGGTTTTAATAACATCAAATATATACTATATCAAGGAAGTGTAACAACAAAAAAACATAAAGAGCAGAGATAGCAATTATACAAAGCAATTATCTTATAACATAACACATTTAGTATATTACACCAAAACTTTATGCCAATAATTTTAGTTTAGTTTAATAAACACTATAATAATATTTGTTAACCATATACATCAGTAATTATGAATCTTAATGGGATGGATGAGCTTGCATGTGATGGCATATTTCATCCATGTTTGGAATGAGATTTGATAAAGAAAGTTTTAATGTAGGTGTAACAGTTAACCTATTTTGATATTTGGTCTTGATTGCAGTGACTGCTGAAAATCCACTTTCACAAAGGTACGTTGAAGGAAAAGGAAGTAGGACCCTCAATGCCTTTTCACTTAACAGGTTGTATTTGCTGTGGACTTTTGTCAAAAACTTTTCAAGCGATGAATTGTTTTTCAAGTTTTTCAACATGATGTCTGAGGATAGATCTGCCAACATCTCCTTTTTATTCATAGATAGGGTGTTTGTTTGGCTAGTGAAATTGAATGGATCCAAAATCCACAAAAAAATCTTCCCTTGGATCTTGGTTTGAAGGGAAATACTTCTTGAATTGGAGTGACAAGTGATTTTCAAGTGATTAACAATAATCAGATTAAACTGAGAAAAATTGTAATCTTCATTCTTCTCTTTTGCCTCGTTCATAAGATCCTTTAAGGCACTAAATATATCAAAACAGTTGTTTTCAATTCTTTGAGCCACAGTTTATTTTTTTTCTTTTGCCCTTCAATTTTATTACAGGTGTTACAAATAGTTTCATGTGGTCCCTGAAGAGACAAGTTTAACTCATTCAGAAGCTGGAATATGTCTGCAAGATAACACAATTTCATATTCCAATCTATGTCTTTGAAGTACTGAACAAGGTCACAGTTTTCACTTGAGAGAAATATGATTATTTCTTCTTTAAGTTCACACAGTCTCTTTTAATATCCGGCCTCTCGATAGCCAGTGAATGTCCGTATGCTGTAATAAAGTTCTATGTGTGGATCCCATTTCATCACATAAGATTGCAAACAGTTGTGAATTAAGAGCACTGGATTTTATGAAATTGACTGTTTTGACAGCTGTTGTTAGCACTTGATTTAATTTGGCACTTATACTTTTACTTGCTAACATTTCTCGATGTATAATGTGTGCCTTGTATATTTGGCGCTACTTGTTTCATTTTTGCAACTAACCCTGCATGCCTACCACTCATATTAGGTGCACCATCAGTACAAATTGAAACACAATTGAAAGTGACATTCTTAAATCAGTACTTAAGAAATAATCTGACAATGCTGAAAATATTTCAGTGCCAGTAGTATGTTTTTTCATTTCCAAGCTGTTCATGAATTCTTTTTTAATTTCTTCTTCATCCCAGCCCAAATATCGCACACAGATAAGTAGCATAACTTTGTCAACAATATCAGTCGACTTTTCCAGGTGAACAGCACACATCTTTGACATTTTTTTTAAAGTTGTCGATGAACGTTTTCGCTCACCATAATTATGCAATTTGAAACGGTATTGTTAGAAAAAGGAATTGTTTTCAGTTTTTTGGTAACTTCATCTCTCAAAATTGCACGGTTTGTATCCAAAAATCAAGGCATAATTAAGTCTTCCCCTACTGTGAAATTTTTCTTGATTTTGTAATGCGAAGTGATATAAAAATGCTTTACGGGCAGTTTCATTTCCAGTTCCCATAATTCAAATCAGTTTCTTCTGAGCTTTCAAATTGCTCTCCTTTCTTTTAAAAAAATTGATTGGCATGTTCTGATATTGCTGGTGTTTTGTTTCCAAATGGCTCTTACGTTTAGATGGAACCATCATGCTATTACCCAAAATCTCCAAGCAAATAACGTATTGGGGGCAATCGTTTTTATATGTGAATCCAAACGCTAGGTATGCAGGATTATATTTTTGACATACTGTTTTCTTCCTTTTTGGTTCTGGGGAAGATGTGCTACATTGACAGATGGAAATGTTTAGTGTATTTCACTCGTTGATGGTACTGGTTCCTCAGCAGTACTATTTTTATTCACTTCTGCCTTTTTTATAGGGAAATGTAATTTTCTCTTTTTACTCATATTGGTGGAAATGATAAATTCAGTACATTATCAAGCGTGGGATAATGTCAAGCAGCTGACTGACAGCAGCCATAGCAGCCAAGCCAACGTTAGGGACACTGAGGGCCTTTTCCCCTCCATTCAGAGCGGGTCCCTTGCTGCTTAATGTTTTGTCCTTCAATCATTCTGGCCCCTTGCTCTGTTATTTTTGACATAGGTTACTGAAGGGAAGGGCCTTGTCTGTGCAAGAGGGTAGGAGCTGCAGAGAATGCAGAAAAGATAAAGCCTCCTGATCAATGCAGCCTCGCATTGCTAGTCAGGATCCCTTGCAAAGGGCTGGACAGTCTCTGGCTGCCATAGGGCTCTCCGCCCCCATCGTGGAAGCTTCTGAAGCGAGGCCCAAGTTTTTCCACCTTCTCCCCAGGCAGGGGCTGGGCTAGCATCACTCACAGCAGCCTGGGGCAGGGTTAATGACGTCACTCCTCGTGCTTTCCCCACCCTCCCCCAATCACAAACTTAGCCCCAGCTTTCATTTTAAACCTGAGCGGTCCAATGCCAAGGGACAGCTCCCACTTTTTTTTTTTTTTTAATTTTTCCGGGTCCTTTGGGCACGCCCCTTGAGCCTCCGGACCAATGCGGGCTGCCTATGCAGCGAAGTGCGTGCATCCCAAAGGTACAGAGAGTTGCTGGGGGAGGAGGAGGTAGGCAGGAGGTGAGCGCACACCCCAGAGGCGGGGCTGGGTGGATATAAGTGGGAGGAGTCTCGCGCGGTTGCTGCAGGCTGTACTGAGTGTCTCATGCACAAATCCGGCAGGGCAGAACAGAAGAACAAAAGGGGATTCCCCTTTTAAGGTGACTATCTTCTCCATGGCACACCTTCGACTGCCTCGTGGCACAAAACAGTTTAGGAAACGCTGGTCTAGATAGTGGCACTATTTCAGGATACTTCTGGTATCCCAAAACAGCTATTCCACGTCTTTGAAATAAGCCCATTATTTTGAAATATAATGGGCTCGCTATTCCAATGTCCCTGTAAACTTAATTCCACAAGGATTAAGAGATGTTTCAGAATAGTGGTTTATTTCAAAATCTGGTGTGGTGTAGACAGCACCAAATTATGAAATAAGCTATTTCTAAATTAACTCAAAAGAAGCTAAGCAATTTGCATAGCTCAAATTGCGTAGCTTATTTCGAGCTCAGGGTGCAGTGTAGACGCACCCTAAGTCTGTGTCAGTCTCATAATGGAGCAGACAATTCTGCTGCTTTAGAATATAAATTTATCTTTCAGAAAACTGTCCTCACCCAGCATTGGAACAATGAAGATATTCTAGAAAAGATACTTGGATTCAAAGGAGAATTAGCAAAATATACCCTTTTAAAAATACTAGGTAATTAATTTCTCATTGACTTACAGTAATTAGTTATACAGGGGATAAATTTGGTCCCTTAACTGTATATTGTATGGAAATGTAGGAGATGGAGGGGGTGTCCGTTCAACCTAAGAATACGCATCCTCTCTTTCGAGGGTAGGTTTTTTAGACTAATTTCTTCTAGTGCATGTCCATAGAGCTGGCTGAAATATGAGGTTTCTGATTTGCTGGAAATTTTGCAATTTAAGAACTGCATTTTGCTTAGAATCAGGATGAATCCACATTCTTGAAAACTCCCAGAGCTGTGGAGTAAGCAAAGTACTCCTGTACTTCGGCTCGTCAGCTGTGGACATGCAGACTGCCTAGGGTTTCTACCTCCAGGAAAACTTGCAGAAAATGAAATGGACAAGAGGTTTCCAGAGAAAGGTCATCAGTTTGATTTTTTTTCCATTTGCCATTTTTTGGGGCAGAATTGAAATTTTCTGCAAGAAAATGTGTTTGGCAAAAGAGGTATTTTTTCATCAGAAAAATATTCACAGGAAAAAGTCTTAATCAGCTCTACTTGTCTGTGCCACTGCTTTAATTGATCTAAGGAAATAATCATCTTTGAGCCAAGCTGCAATTGTACAGGGCACTAGATGAGGGGTCAAGAAACCAGCATTCAATTCCCAGCTCTGCCATCATCTTGCTGTATAACTTTGGGTCAGTCAATATAGTGAAAAATACATTGCATCCTATTTGATTACTTTTTGTATCTGTCTTCAGCTTCAATGGTGAAATGGATGGACAAGCCAGTTAGACTTGCTACAGCCAATACAACTTTTATGCCTTCACACAATGTTAGTATCTAATGCTTAAGTTACAAACTGCAGGGAAATGTTTAAAATACATTTTCTTTAGAATCCATGCTATCATTGGCTACCCTTATACTTAGCTTACGTTTTGTCAAATCTTATTTTTATAAAACTTCTGAATCATTATGGGCATGTCTATACCTCAGTTAAACACCTGTGAGAAAACTCATAATGGCTACGTCTACACTGGCAGCTTCTTGCACAAGAACTCTTTTGTTGAAGAGTTCTTGTGCAAAAACTCTTCCACAAGACAGTGTCTACACTACTATGTCCTTTTGCGCAACAGATGTGCTTTTGTGCAAGAGCATCCATGGCAGTGTGGATGCTCTCTTGCACAAGAAAGCTCTGATGGTCATTTTAGTCATAGTGGCTTCTTGTGCAAGAAATTCATGTTGCCTGTCTACACTGCCCTCTTGTGGAAGAACTCTTGCGTAAGAGGGCTCATTCCTAGTGGGGAAAGGAATAATGTGATTTGTCCTTTTCATATTTGTTCATTTTTTTAATTGTATCCTTTGGTATATATGGTTGTGACTACTTTCTTCCACTATTTGATCTGAGGAAGTGGGTCTGGCCCACGAAAGCTCATCATCTAATAAACCATCTTGTTAGTCTTTAAAGTGCTACATTGTCCTGCATTTTGCTTCAACTACCCCAGACTAACACGGCTACATTTCTATCACCAATCTGGAGGGGAGCTAGAGCGTTAGTGTGGGAACCTTGAGTCTCGAGGGCCACACTCACGTGAGCTGGGGTATTAGGTTCCTCACTATAGCATAGACGTAGCCTAGCAGAGCTCCCTAGTCACCACTCCTGAAACCATCTAAGTAAAAAACAGGTGGCAGCATGGTGTATATAGAGCCTTAACCCTTTCCTGCCATGCTGGGGTAAAGCTGGGCGAACCATAGCTACAGACAGATCTATGAAAGCCACAGGATCAGATGCATCTTACTTCAACGCAGTTAACCTTCCCTCAGCTTTGGTGCTGGAGGCACGAATGGTGCAGTAGCCCCTCTTGCCTTGGAAAGGCTTCCAGCTCATTTAAGCTTCACAGTTTAGTTCAATGGCTCTCAGCACCCCCGTCCCGGAGTGCTTGGTCACAGTGTTACTAAACTGCCTTCACCGGCACGCGTGCGTGGTGACACCCCACGTCTGTGGCCAGCTTTCTGCCCGCGCCAAAGCGCTAACGCTGGCTCCTCCGAGCACGCTCACTGCCTTTACTCCAAAACGCCCCCACCCCGACTATTAGCTCATAAAGGGCCGCGCCACGCGCGTCGCCCCGTCCCGGAGTGCTTGGTCACAGTGTTACTAAACTGCCTTCACCGGCACGCGTGCGTGGTGACACCCCACGTCTGTGGCCAGCTTTCTGCCCGCGCCAAAGCGCTAACGCTGGCTCCTCCGAGCACGCTCACTGCCTTTACTCCAAAACGCCCCCACCCCGACTATTAGCTCATAAAGGGCCGCGCCACGCGCGTCGCCCTTTGGCTGCTGAGCCAATGCAGCACGGGCACGAGCGCTTCCATGCCCGCCCTCCGCCTGCAACCCTCCCCATTGGCCACCGGCCAGCCACGGCCCAGAAGTCCGCCACGCCTACGCCCGTGACGTCATCTGACGCTGCATGCAATGCCCTCCGGTC